AGCCGTTTAAAAGCTCTCTACGCATGGAAATCTGTAATTCACAATAGATGAGTGGCCGGATGACTGGTCAGAATGATTCACTGGGAAGGGAGTTAAAAAGCAAGAGCCAGATTTCATTTAGCCTCTCTGGCTCCTGGGTTTTTAGAGCTGGCTGCCTATCTTGCAGGCCATGACAAAAGGCAGAAGGTGCAAAGGTGGAGACAGGAGAAGTTTTGGTTGGTTTGCGATGGGGCTAGGGATGTAAAATCCTGGTTAAAAAGTTAACCAGTTAATCATGATCCCATGGGCGGGGGGCAGCTCCAGCCCAGCCAGGCCTGGCATGCCACACACTGTGGGCGGGGGCTGCTTAGGCCAGGCCAGGCCAGGCCAAACCTGCTGCATCGCCGGAACGGCTCCCCGCCAGTAAACCGGTTAAGCATGTTAACCCTTTACAACCCTAGTTTAGATCAAGCTGCATGTCTGAATGCAGGAATGGGACCTGAATTTTGCATCATTGCTCTGGACCGTGCATCTGAATCTGTGAGTCATGGGCAGATCCAGTCGCTATGCAGGGCTGCAGGCCCAAAGGCAACGTTTCACCCCTCAACCTGCAATAGGAGTCATATGGAGTTCAGAGAGTTTCCCCATAAGCACAGGGTGGCAGGACTAGAGGGACCCTTTGAATTATGAGCCCTTTAACTAGTGTCCTTGTCCATTTCTGCATTCAAACCCTCCTGCATGTGTGATTAACACGATGCTTGTGAAGTGGATGAGTTTCTGCCTGCAGAGATAGGGTATGTCTACACTACCCCGCTAGTTCGAACTAGCGGGGTAACGTAGGCATACCGCACTTGCAAATGAAGCCCGGGATTTGAATTTCCCGGGCTTCATTTGCAAGTGCGGTACGCCTACATTACCCTCCTAGTTCGAACTAGGAGGGTAATGTAGGCGTACCGCACTTGCAAATGAAGCCCGGGATTTGAATTTCCCGGGCTTCATTTGCAAGTGCGGTACGCCTACATTACCCTCCTAGTTCGAACTAGGAGGGTAATGTAGGCGTACCGCACTTGCAAATGAAGCCCGGGATTTGAATTTCCCGGGCTTCATTTGCAAGTGCGGTACGCCTACATTACCCTCCTAGTTCGAACTAGGAGGGTAGTGTAGACATACCCATAGGGGGTTGAGCATGAGGCTACAGTAGGTGCAATTATATGATAATGTGGCCCCTTGATCTATTTCTGTTACCATACTTCTATGTTTAGTATTGAAGTCAGAGATGGGTGGCCAGCAGGCGGGGATGATCATGGAGCCTTTCACCGGGCAGGTCACCAGTTGAAATCCGGCCTGCTCTTTGAGGATTGGAGGTTGCTACCAGCTGATGACAGGCCTATGTGAAATAAGTTTCCAGCTTTCTCACAGTTCTTACTGTCTGTATTCCAGACCCGCTTCTCCACAGCTGGCCCCCCATTGGTCAGTCTCTGCACAGGGTCCCAAGTCTGAATTGACATGAAGGCTGAACACCCCCTCTGCCCTTTGGATCAGGAATGGAGCTGGAATCTGGCTTTGCTGCTGGGCTGCTTCTGCTCTGTGGATGAATAGGGGTGTCAGGTCGGCAGAGTTCCCTGGCCCCTGGTTCAACACAGCACTTAGCACATGCTTCATTCCCCTGGAAGTCAGTGGGACTTCAGCACATGCCAGAAGTTAAGTGTGCTGCTGATGTGGGGCTGAAGTTCCCACACACATTTTGGCTGCACGACAGAGCTCACAGCAAAACCAACAAGGAGTCTGGTGGTACTTTAAAGATTAACACATTTATTAGGGTATCAGCCCAGTTGGGGGCTCCCTAGTGTAGCTGCTCTAAGCTAATGGGAGAGAGCTTTCCCAGCGATTAATCCATCCCCCACCCCACAAGCAGAGGCAGCTGCGTGGGTAGAGAAGCCCTCCTGCCAACATAGCTCTGTCCACAGCACCACTTAGACCCATATGGACATGACCTCAGTAGAACTGTCCGGAATTTATCTCTGTTCCCTGGCAAAATATATCAGCGAGAGCTAAACTTTCTAGTTTTAGGCAACCACATGCAGGAATTCATTAAAAAAAATATCAGTGTTTTCAATGCAGATGGAATTGTTGGGGATGAAACCCTTCTATTGAAAACCCTTTTTGCAGTTAGAAAACAAAAACATTCAGAGGAGCTCTTGGGACTGCCACTGACCTTAAGCAAGTCACGTCGCCACTCTGTTCCTCAGTTTCCCCCTTTGTAAACTCTATCTGAGCCAGCTCCATAAAGTGCTCTGAGACTTACAGTCCCTAAAGCAGGGTTAAGTGCTAGGAGATGATTATTTTATGATGACTTCCTTTTGCAGTAATATTATATTTCAGGAGTGTGTTTGAAAAGTAAGCACGTCAAGGGTCATATTTCTAATTGGGAGAACAGGATTGTTGGTTTTTTTTAACAAATACACACACACACATATAATGTATTTATTGCAACCACCCTGAACAATCCAAGTGGTTCTTGCCATATCAACCTTCGCACAAGGATTGATTCCAAGGGCCAGAGTTTCTGGCCTGACCTCACTGGCTGTAGTGGGGGTGGCCATGCATTGCTCAATTACTGACTCAGCAATTACTTCACTGTATGGATTGTGCCTTATGTAACTCTGAGTTAATCTGGGATTTTCCAGCTCTTTGTTCGCCTCCTCCTTTGAATAGAGTTTCTGCTGGGCTTTCGTCACACCACGTCTTGTTATGAAGAGCCTTTTCCAGGATTCTCTGTGTTTTCCCCTCCTCCTCACTTTCTTTTTCCCTAAGATCTACAGTAGGAAATCAAGCACTGGGCATGGGGCAAACCAATTTAGGGGAAGTAATACTCCTTTCCCTTTAGCTTTCACCTAATTACAAACTTTTAGGGCACTTTGAAGTATTTAGCTAACTATATGTTTCCCTTTTCCATGCTACCAGGATCCACAGGGGGCTTGTGAAGCTTAACTGATTGATGTCCATGAAGCGCTGTGTTTGTAAAATAGCCAGCAATGATAGCTCAGTCCTGGATGGCGCTTAGATTTTGTGGAGTGACGTTACGCTACATAAAACCCTGCAGATGAGACAGCTGGAGTGAGCGTGTCTGTATTTATCAGCTTAGAGATTCCCCTTTGCATTTACACCAGAGAGATTCTCTCTTGGCTACACAGTGTCACATTACAGAGCACCGTAAAGGCCCCAATCCAGCACAGCACCGAAGCACATGCCTTTTCTTTTAAGGATCTGAATAATCTGGTTATTTTATAGGACCCTTCGTGGGCATAAAAATGAGTATCACCTTAAGCGCTTTGCTGGATCAAGGCCTGAATGCATATCACAATGGAGGGCGTGTGAAATATGACAATGTCGAGCTGTTACAGTGCTTGGTCAAATTTTGCCAGAGTGTTAGGTTAAAATAAACTTTGAGAAAGCCCTACATTTTCATATAAATTAAGCTTATGTAAAACAAAAAGTGCTGTGGAGTTTTGCAACCCAAACATCGCAAACTTTGGGATAGTGCCTGTGAACCTGGAAGTGTAATTGACTAGGAACAAAAGTAAAATTGATTCTTCCTGCCTGGGAGCAATACAAAGCAGCAGCATCATTAAGCATTTGTGCTGACAGTGCATGAGAGTCTGAACAAGAGACATGGGTGAAGATACGAGCTGAGGAGCTTTCAAATGAATTACCAATATATTGGGACACAAATGCAGGGGAAGCCCCAGCAATTGTTTTTAACACCTTAATCGTACAAAGACTCTGGCGCATAGAAACTCCCATTGGTTTCTGTGAGGATGCTCCCAGTACATGAATAGGTCTTTACAGGACCAATGTTTAGATTAGATCCTGCTCTGGCCAGTTCTGGGAACCTGCAGTTTCTGCTGACTTCCGTGGCATGTGCTATGGATCAGGCCCTAAAGGAGTTGCCCAAAGCTGACCGACATCAATGGGAGACTGGGCATTGATTTCCACAGCTCTTTTTAAAATCACGTGCAGTGAACAATTTTAATAATGTTAAGGTGTAATTCTGGGGTAGATAATAGATTTGTAGTTTTCTGTTTACAAATATTAAGGTCTGACTTTCCCTGTCTTCATAATAATAACTCTCGCTTTTGCATAGCACTTTTCCTCAGCGGATCCCAAAGTACTTTGCAAAGCAGGTAGGCATCATTCCATGCTTTTATGCTGGTGTAACTCCTCAGCTGTGTCTACACTGCACCCCTTTTCCGGAAAAGGGATGCAGATGAGACAAGTCGGAATTGCAAATGAAGCGGGGATTTAAATTTTCCCCGCTTCATTTGTATAAACATGGCTGCCGCTTTTTTCCGGCTCGGGGCTCTGCTGGAAAAAAGTGCCAGTCTAGACGGGGATCTTTCGGAAAATAAAGCCTTTTCCGAAAGATCCCTTATCCCTCTTAAAATCAGGAATAAGGGATCTTTCGGAAAAGGCTTTATTTTCCGAAAGATCCCCGTCTAGACTGGCACTTTTTTCCAGCAGAGCCCCGAGCCGGAAAAAAGCGGCAGCCATGTTTATACAAATGAAGCGGGGAAAATTTAAATCCCCGCTTCATTTGCAATTCCGACTTGTCTCATCTGCATCCCTCTTCCGGAAAAGGGTGCAGTGTACACACGGCCCTCTGGTATCAGTGAAGCTATTCCTGATTCACACCAAGAAAACTGAAAAGAGAATCAGGTCCATTGGTTTTAACAAGGTGGCATTTGTTACCCATGAACATCCTTGAAACAGTGTCATGCCCTCAGGTTGACACAGTGGAAGCACCTCTTCCAGCCTGTGCATATTGCTGTGATAATTTGAGGGTGAACTTATGAGGCAGATGGGGAGAGGTTTCAGCTCATATTGTGTTGCTAGGCTCACTTATTTTTCTGATTCAGTTTTGGCGGTATAATTCCACCAGCTCCAAACACTCCAGTCTTCTGCCTTAGTGGGTCATGAGCTTTGGTGTCTGGTTTATTTGTTTTTTCCTCTGCTTCTTTCAGACATGGAATGTGCAGACGTACCTTTGCTAACCCCGAGCAGTAAAGAAATGATGTCCCAGGCCCTGAAGGCCACCTTCAGCGGTTTCACAAAAGAGCAACAGCGGCTGGGAATCCCTAAAGGTAGGGCACGTAATGCCTAATGGGCAGAGCCCTGTGCTACAGGCAGAACGGTCATACACCAGAGGCATTTCTTCATCTGAAATATCCCCTTCTCCAAACTTCCGTCTCCTTTCCATTCCGTCTCTGCTGCCATCACGGTGATCCCTGGCTTCTTCCTCCATTTCTTGGTGGCTTGATCCTCTCTGATCTCTGTCCCATTCAGAAATTGAGAAGCGCTTTGCTCTCATTGGCCCCAATGAGAAATACACCTTTAATCAAGTTCCCTCTTGAGCAAGGCTGCTGATGGGGGGTGGGAAAAGGGAATTATTGTCCTGGGGCATGGCAATTTCAGAGTCCTGCTGTCCAGGCAATGCTGAGGACTGCATGTAGGAGGTGAGGTGCAGTCTGTGTGGTGCTAAGGGTTGGTTACCTCACCCCTTCTGTCTAAGGCCCCGCCCCTTCCTGGCCCTTGCGCTGCCTCCCCCTCTATTGCTCAGGGTCTAGCGTGCTCTTGAGGCACCACAAGAACCCTCTATCCCATGGAGATATCCAGCTCCTTTCATTGGTACTAAGGGAGAAGTGTCAGGTGTCCTTTGGCATAACCTGCAAGGTGCTTGTGGTTTGAATGAAAATAAGCAACCCATGATGGAAGACTGATGCCCATGGGCTGTTAGAAATGTTGTCTCCAACCCGAGTCAGGAGCAGAGAGAGGCTGTCCAGCGGCCGACAAAAGAAACACTCAGCCCTACAGAATACAGCTAAATTCATGTTGTTTCCCACCATTGTATGTTATATTTGTGTCAATCCAAAGGTGGAAATCTGTGGGGACCTGTCCCTGTTTGTATAGCTGTAGGGATTGCTGAGATTTTGGTCCTCACTGACATGATGTGTCTATACAGGGGAGCTGACAGGATTGCTGGGGCCCTGAATAATTTTTTTTGGGGGGGTAGCCAAGGGCCTGGATGGAAGACCCAGTGCTGATTGCCTCTCCCAGCCCTCAGAGCCTGCTGGACCTGTGTCTGTAATATGTGGTGATTAAACAGCTCCTGTGTTCCACACTAGAAGCAGCTGCATTTTAGGGGGTGGAGAAATGACCGTTGTACATCCGTCATTATTAATTCCCTTAGAAATCTTACTAACAGCTCTCTCCCATGACCCCTTGGTGCAGACCCCCAGCAGTGGACGGAGACTCATGTCCGGGACTGGGTGATGTGGGCTGTGAATGAGTTCAGTCTGAAGGATGTGGATTTCCAGAAGTTCTGCATGAACGGGGCTGCCCTCTGTGCTCTGGGCAAGGACTGCTTCCTGGAGCTAGCGCCTGACTTCGTGGGAGATATTCTCTGGGAGCATCTGGAGATCCTGCAGAAAGGTACCGGACTGGGTCACTGCTTAGGCTACCGCTTTGGATACCCGTATTAAAGAGGCCAACTGAATCTCATGCTCTCCAAGAGCCCGGTTTAGGGTCTGACTGCCGTAGGATTCAGTAATTTACCAACACCGTGTGCAGTGAAGCCTCCAGACTAGTATCTGTGAGGCCGTATTTGGGAGGGAGACTTCTACAGGTGTGGTTGGAAATGATGTTTGTGGTTCTATGCAGCTGGTGCCCTTTCCTCCGAGAGTCTGTCTGCCTTTGACTGGGGAGGTGTGATTTCTGGCTCCAGTTCAGCACTGCCGTAGGATTCAGTAATTTACCAACACCGTGTGCAGTGAAGCCTCCAGACTAGTATCTGTGAGGCCGTATTTGGGAGGGAGACTTCTACAGGTGTGGTTGGAAATGATGTTTGTGGTTCTATGCAGCTGGTGCCCTTTCCTCCGAGAGTCTGTCTGCCTTTGACTGGGGAGGTGTGATTTCTGGCTCCAGTTCAGCGTCACCCTCCGTACAGACCCGCTGGACCCCCAATACATACACAGATGAGTAGCCCGAGCTGTGGCTAGTGCCATTGCAACGCCTGGCTGTTTTTAGGCACTAGCATGGGTACATCTGTGGCCAGTGGGCATCACACCGCCCTGCTCAAAGGTAGACGGACCCACGTCAACAACAGATGCTGCCGGAGATGTTGTCTTTCCAATAAAACATAAAGCAGAAGTCCCAGACCAGTAGAGGCTAATGAAGCGCCACTGGTGCTCTTTGAAGGAGGAAGGGTGTTAATGCAACATCTTGGCTGAATTCCAGGGCCAGGCAGGGTCATTCCGCATCCCTCGAAATGAAAGGTGGGTATTTCCAAGGCAGTTACCTCTGGCCTGACAGCTTCCACTGGGAATTGTAATCATAGACATCAATGGGAGCAGTTACGCCAACACTTCTGAACCACACCCACACTTTCCGGTCGCAACTGGAAACTATTTTTCTTTGTTCCTTAGGCCTGGTTTAAACACCAGCGGTGTTCCACTCCAGAAGTGGCTGCATTTCAGAGGGGGTGGGTGAAGTGATCGCCATCTTCCCCTGCATACCATCTTTGGTGGATCTTGATTTTTTGATAAACATTTTGATGCACTCTCCTGGAGTGACAGAGCTACCTACATGCCCAATGAGGAGCCTTGGCTGTAACTGAGATATGCACAGTGGCAGCAGGCACATCCAGTTCAGCAAAGTACTAATGCACATGCTTGACTTTAAGCACCTAATCCATCCACTACATCCACCGCCTGCCCTTGCCAGTAACCCAGCTTCGGTGGCTGGGAGAGGAGGGGGATTCTGTGCTGTCCAAGAAACGCATTGGCAAAGGGAGGTTAATTACTGATTGCCAGTTTTGCTGTCTCTGGTGGTTTGAGAAGGTAAACATGCAGCTGCAGCAGCCTGTGTTGTTTTGCTCCTTGTTTTGGCACCAGAATCTTTTCAGCTCTTTACTTTTTCCATTTGATTTTAATGAGCCCTTGGTAAAGTTGCCCACAGTAGAGCGAAGGTCTTGTGGTTAGGCATGGGGTTGGTACTCAGGAGATGTGGTTTCAGTTCCCAGCTCTTATACCAGCTCCCTGGGACAAGTCACTTGGTCTGAGAACCTAAAAAAGGGTTTAAGTGCCTGACTTCCATTGATTTCCCTTTGGGCATCTGGGCCTAAGTGACATGCCCAAGGGAGTGTATAGCAGATCTGGGAATTGATTTCAGTGGGAGCTTAGAGTGATCCATGCCTCAGTTTCCCCTACTATAAACTATGGAGAATGCTTCCTTACCTCTCACGGCAGCTGTGAGGCTAAATCTATTAATATGTGTAGGTGCTCTGACTCTGTGGTCATGTGATTACCTAGATAGCTAGATGTCCCAAAGAAAACAAAAAGGCTTTTTACAGGCCAGGTTCTGGATTCTGTTCTATCCATTTATCCTACGGGCAAGAGCCTGGGACCAGGGGCAACTGGGTTCTATTTGCAGCTGTTCATGCATGCTGTGTCACCTTGTGCAAATCATGTAGGGCCTCAGTTTCTCTGTCTGTAAAATAAAGTTGCTGCATGCCCCTCTGAGGCTTAGATTGTGGGATCCTTGGCTGAAAAGTACCTACCAATAATGAAAAGGGCAGAATGCTCCTGCTCCTAATATAATCAACGGGAAGCTGCTGTGCAAACACAGGTCTTAAAATTGAAATGGACAAGACAGATATTTCTATCTGTGTTTTACAGATGGGAAACTGAGGCACCAGGTGATGCTGCAGATTACCCAATGCAAACTGGCAGAACTAGAAACTGAGCAAATGTTTCTTGAACCTTAAACTAGTGTCCTGTGGCACCCTGAAGACTTACTGATTTATTGGGGCATGAGCTTTCATGGGCAAAAACCACTTCGTCAGATGCAGACTAACATGGCTACCCCTCTGAGACTTAAAAACTGATGTTTTAATCATCAGCCCTTTGTTCCCAAGAGCTGCCTCCCATGTTCTTCAGGGGGAGCAGGACTAGGGCCTTGTCTGTTAATCTCAAAGCATTTCACATCAGAAGCATTAGGTCACATTAGGACACACAGCAACCTCCCAGTCTCTCTTGTTAACATGCCCCTCCTGTTCGCTCTTTCAGAGCGAGTGACTCACCTACCACAGGCGGCGGTGCAAGGTATAAAAATGGCAGCAACTGGGCGACTTTTCCTTCATGCATTTGGGTGTTTGCCGTCATATTTTTCCAAATTTCTTCCTAAAATAACTCCAATTACCAGCAGCCATCAATGCCCTCTGCTTGACTGCAAACCTAGCTGAAAGTTGCCCTTTTTAACCTAGTCCCACCCTTTCCCTGTGGTCACCCACCCTGCCGCTTGGCAGACTCTGTGGGGAGGGGAAAAGAGCGCTGGGGATTAGGTCTCTCTACAAAACCTTCCTTTGTTTGAGAATATTTTCCACCCTGCAGTCCCAGGAGAGGAGGCCAAAATTAGCTTCCTTCAAGTGAACGTGCATTATCTTTGGTTAGCTTTTCTCCAGCCTCAGCAGAAATAAACACAGGCAGAGCCATTCATGCTTTTATTTTTGCTGCCCTTTGTAACGTCCCATTACATTGTCTCGATCCCAACACAGTGCGCTTGGCAGCTGCTCCTGCAGTGAGCAAGGTGGGAATGAAATGAGCCAGGGCAGAAACCGTGCAGCTTCCCAACTGGGAAGGCACAATCCGCTTGCACTGATGTGATTGAAAGGGATGAAATGAGAGGTGCATTGTGTATACAGTTACTATTATCAGTTAATTGCCAAGATCAGGGCCCCGTTGTGCTAGAGGGGTGATCTCCATACAGCAGAATCTCAAGAGAGCTACAAACCGCTCAGGAATGGAGCTTGTTCTTAATTCTGAACAAAACGTTCTGGTTGTTCTTTCAAAAGTTTACAACTGAACATCGACTTACGACAGCTCTGAAACTTCTCTGCAGAAGAGAAAAACTACACCTCCTTTTTTTTAGTAGTTTGAATTTAACGTAGGACTGTACTGCATTTGCTTTTTTCTTTTCTTTTTTTTTTCTTTTTGTCTCTGCTGTCTGATTGTGCACTTGCATACTTCTGTTTCCAGATGAGGTGTGTGGATGACTAGTCAGTTTCTAGTGTTTGTAACTTTGAGGTTCTTCCTCTGCAGAAGAGAAAAACTACACCTCCTTTTTTTTAGTAGTTTGAATTTAACGTAGGACTGTACTGCATTTGCTTTTTTCTTTTCTTTTTTTTTTCTTTTTGTCTCTGCTGTCTGATTGTGCACTTGCATACTTCTGTTTCCAGATGAGGTGTGTGGATGACTAGTCAGTTTCTAGTGTTTGTAACTTTGAGGTTCTTCCAGAGTAAGTTGGTGGTTATGCAGCAACGTCTCGTTAATGTAGGAGCATCTTCCGTTCTTTGCACACGAACAGGGTGGGAGCAGCTCAGGAGTCACATTAGGATACCCACAACTAGAGCTAGTTAAAAAATGGGGAAAAATTTCTAGACCAATTTTTCATTAAAAAAGTCTAATTTCATAATTTGGTGGCACTATTAACAGCCCATCAATGAGTGTAAAGGAGTCTGAATTAATTTAAAAAACAATTAAAATGTAAATAATAATCTTTGTAATGAGGTTCCACGAGTGTTTAGAATGTTCAGTAACCAGCAGGGTCCCTTTGTGCTAGGCGTGGTACATCCAGATAATAGCAATTGAAAAAAGACCCAACGTTAACATGGATCCTGAGAAGTGTTTTGGATCTGAATATCACCAGGTTCAGCTGTCACTGGGATTCCTGGCCCGTTACTATCCCGTTTTTAAATTCTTTGACATTTTCAGTTCTTGTACACTTGATCCATAAAACCTATACAACAGCCCAGGTTTTCACCTACTAATTAATGATATTTCAGTAATGCCTAGAAAGTCCATCGCCAATAGGAATCCTGTTCACCATTATTTAAAACCGTACTACTTACTGGAGCCAAAGACTATCGCCTTGCTGAAGTTGACATACTCACCACAGTGTCTTGCACGCAGTAAGGTCGACGAGGGCTGCTCTCCCATTGACGCCGACTACTCTTCGGTCTTGGTGGACTACTGGAGTCGATGGGAGCACACTTGGAGATTCATTTATCATGTCTTAGCAAACACGATACATCGCTGGCCAGTGGATCGATCACTGCAGCATTGATCCACCACATAGTGTAGACAAGGCCTAAGTTTCCCCAGAGAGTCTAAGGAAGTGAGGCACCTGGTTCAATGGGATTTGGACACCTCACTTGCTTCTGCCCAGTGCCGGACCGAGCCATATTTGTGCCTCGGGCAGCAGGCGCCCCGGACAGCAGGCGTCCCGGACGCATGGCGCATGCGTGGCCCAGCCCCCACATGCATGGCACCTCTTACCACTTCAGTCAGGTGCCCCCTATAGGTTGGCGCCCCGGGCAGCTGCCCGGCTAGCCCCCCTCCCTTAATCTGGCCCTTTTTCTGCCTCTTGGAAAATTCCAATTTAAATGGAAGCTGAATGCTTTTGGGAAATCTGACCTCCAAGTATAATTGAAAGTTTCAGCGAAGGTGAGATTCCTATAAAGCTTGTTTCTTTAACTCCTCTTTCTTCTTATAGATGAGATAAAGCCATACTCAGCTAATGGAGTGAACCCTGCATACCCAGAATCCCGCTATACATCGGACTACTTCATTAGTAAGTCTGATCCCCTTTTTCCAAAGTTGCTTCTCTTTTCCTCTAAATAACCAAGCATGTTGATGTGATTACATCTTGTTTACAGTGGGCTGGCCACTAGCCTGTTTAAAATTGCTGGTTGTGGTTAGAAAAGTGACATTTATTCTAGACTGATCTCTGAACTCAGTGTGTTTTCTGATCACCATCTGCTGTGTATGCTGACAAATTATTGGACTAGTCATGACAGAATGTGCAACTTTCGTAGTAGTATTATCCCTCTTTTGTTTTCTATAATTGGGGGTCATCACTATGTTTCAGAGTTAACATTCACTGAGATAACCAGAAGTGTCTACCTTCAAGCTGTTGCTACAAACTGTCTGCAATCGCAGACATCACTCATCACTCTAAGGACTTAACTCTACATCTGCTTTTTTGTTGCTTAATTTTGTACGATCAATCTGAGATCCGTAGGACCTGATTTTCAGAACACCCTCCTCCCCCACCACTGATTTTGATTGGAGTTGTGGGTTCTCCTCATTTCTGAAAAACAGGCCTATACTATCTCAAACCAGGTAGCTTAAAATCCAGGCATTTAGTAAATGAGGGCTTAGAGTCTGGAGCGCCACAGAGCAGCCAGCCAAGGAAAGTGCTGGGTCTCTGACCTGGAATGATCCAGCTCCCCATGCCAGCCCTTCAGAGCCCCTCCCTAAAGGGGAGGTTCTACAGGACCACAGATATTGCTGGACCAGAGAGCCCCGGCAGGCCAGTTTTAAAAGTGCAGCCCGAGCTGGGCTGGCAGTGGGGAGTGTATCCTCAGTGGGACTAGCACGGTGGGGAGCACAACCCCAGCTGGGGCTAGAGGCAGTGGGGCCAGCGGCTAGAAGCGCAGCCCCGCTGAAGCTGGTGAGGTGGGGAGCTCAGCTCTGGCTGGGGCTGGCATGGGGCAAAACACAGCCTCGTTGGGGCTGGTTGGGGCTGGCATGGTGGGGAAGTGCAGCCTCAGCCAGGGCTGGAGGCAGCGGGGCCAGCAACTAGGCATGCAGCCTGGGCCAGTACTATGGCGGGTTAGCGGGGCCGGGACTGGAGGCAGGATTGGAGGCAGCGGGGCTGGTGTTGAAGGCAGCAGGGCCGGCCTCTGTCCGGGGCTGGCGAGGTTGAGGACGCATCCCCGACCAGGGCTGGCAGAGTGGGTGGCTAGAGGAAGTGGCAGGTGGCAGGGAGAGAAGCTCCAGCCGGGAGCAGAGCCCTATGCCTGGGTAGGAAGTCTTGACTTCCCCTTGTCCGGCAAATATGGATCCAGACCACTCAGGTCCCGAGGTTGCCAGACAAGGGAGGTTCGACTTGTATTGTGCTTCATGCACAATTGACATCCATAAATTTGGCTTTTAGACTCTCTCTAGTTAGTGGGGAGGGTTGGAGCAGAGAGGAACTCGCCTGGCTTTGTTGCCAGGGTAAGATTGCTCGGCTAATGAGTGGAAATCTTGTGATGTGTAAAGCAGATTTCATCTGAAATGGTTGAAGAAGAGTAAGTGTAGAGCGGGGTGATTCCATTCTACAAGGGGATTCTTCTGGCTGCCACAGATTTTTAAGAAAGAAGTCAGCTATGCACCCCGCAGAGAACAGGAGCGTATCCTTTGTGTGAGTCCCACTGCTGCCAGTTAGGTTTCAGAGCCTCACATAAGGCTAACTATGACATCCAGTCTCTCCTGGTGATTGTGAAGGGGAGCAGCTCCAATGTGATGACAAGGACCCTCCTCCTCTTTCTCCATACTCCATTTCCTGGGATAATTGTAGAGCGCCTCCTCCTGGTGCTTTCTTCCCATCTCCCCTCCACGGTTGCTCCTATTTTTCTCATGGCTTAGTCTGGTGCTCACTGACATAGTGAGAATTCTTATTGTGACTATTTATTATTTGAACTGTGGTAGCATTTCACAGCCCCAGCTGAAATCCGGGTCCCTTTGTGCTAGGCATTGTACATCCAGATACCAATAATTGAAAAGAGACCCAAGGATCTCACCATGTCCGCGCAGGACAGGAGATGGGAGGTAGAGACAGCAGCACTCTGTTTAGCTGTCAGTCGCTGTCTTTTCAGTCTACTAATATTAACCCACCCATCTGTTCCACTTGCAGCTTATGGCATTGAGCATGCTCAGTGCGTACCTCCCTCAGAGTTCTCTGAGCCCAGCTTTATCACCGAGTCCTACCAGACCCTCCATCCGATCAGCTCAGAGGAGCTCCTTTCCCTCAAGTACGAGAATGACTACCCATCGGTCATCCTGCGCGACCCTGTCCAGACAGACTCCCTGCAGACAGACTACTTCACGATCAAGCAGGAAGTTGTAACGCCAGATAACATGTGCATGGGGCGCACCGGTCGAGGTAATGGGCAGACGCTCCAAAGTCTCTGCTTGGTTTTCCACTCTCTCCCTCCCCCTGGGCGTTTCCCTCACTTCCTCTCCCCTGGATGTTCCTTGTCAGAAGTCACAGCCATTGGTGTCCCCTACCTGCTTTGAGAGATAAACTGAGGTCCCAGAGATTGCATACTGGGCAGAATCCAGGGGTCTTGTCACCCCCTTCCCCCGCCAATACCCATCAGAATGCCAGTGTTGATACAAGTTGGTCTTGACGCTGAATGTTACATCTGTTTAATTTTTTAACATGGAACAAGAACTGAAAAAATGCCACATGTTGGATCTTTGTGGAAACTCAAGTTTCCTTGCCAATACCAGCAGCATGCCCCCATTCATTGGAATCACATGTATGTTACCCTATCAAGGCCATTTTCATTATTTTCTTTTTCTTTTTTTAATTTCCAAGCTGAGGAAAGGTTGTCAGGGAGGGTTATTTTTTAAAAAAGAAACACAACTTCTGTTGGTTAAACATTTATATAACTCAGGCAAATTAGGCAGATGCGGCGAGCCAAGGGGCAGCTGTGTTGCAATTTTAGGCAAGCCCTTTTGCAAGGGCTGTTTTTGCAGATTAGCTTCTAATTTAGTTCCTTCTCTTGAACTTTAAAGCGGGCACCTTGGTAATTCTTACTGAAAGACTTTCACTATTGTGACTCAATCTTATACCGGCCTGCAGGCCCCACAAGCCTCAGGGGAAAGGGTGTTCTGATATAACAGCCTCCCCACCTCGTGCTGGAACATGTGAATTCCAAAACATGCCAGGCTGCACTGGCAGTGGGCTACGTCAGGGAACTCCTTAACATTTCATTTGTGAATGAAGAAACACCATGGGCCAGAATCTGCCTGAAATGAAATTCTACTCTGGTTGTGTACACCTCATGTAGGTGTAAATATGTTAGAGGTAAGATTCCCTTAATGCTGCCGGAATTAGTATAAATGGGTATTCAGCCACTGTGTTTGTAATTATAAGCTTCTTACAAATTCCACACAAACACAACATTAAAAGAATGTTAAGGTTGCAAATTCACGCCCTTAAAAGCTAAGGAATGCCAGAATTAAGGCTATTTGTGCATCCTTATTTGGTTTTCCTGTGTATATGTATATGTATATGTATATGTATATGTATATGTATATGTATATGTATATGTATATGTATATGTATTTGATAAAGTCTTTAATTACATGATCACAGACTAATTTTTTCCACTTTAGTATGCTCAGTGCAGATAGGATCTTTGGAAAATATAGCTGCCAAACTACAAGTCTCTGTTGCACATGTACAAACTGGGATTTTTTTCAAAGGCTCAGTGGAGGTGGCTTTTCACATAGATGACAAAACACCTGCTCTTCCTGGCAAATTTCAAGTCCCTGCTACAAAGCATGGGGGTTCTAAAGCTTCTCTACGGAATGGCTGTATGCATTTTTAAACCCTGTTCTGAGAAAATACTGAGTTGTTATTTTGTGAAGCTTTTCTCCCCCCAGAATATATCCATTTGAGGCATGAACATTTTCAACCTAAAAGGACTAAATGTGGTAAAAGTGAAAAGCAACTGGAAACAAAGACTGGAAATAAATGTTGGGCAATCTTAATTATAGGCATTGTTATCTGCATCACCCACAGTAAAATCATTTAAATTATGAGTGGGCCTGAGCTGAAACCTCAAATGCAAAATCCTTCAAGAAAGAAGTTAAATCATTAACATTGACATATAAACAACCATCATTAGGTTTCAGAGTCAACAAACCATTAGTTTACATTAGTCCCATTAGTCACTGAACAAAATGTCCATAGGCTTTCACACCCACATTATTTAAGCTCTTCTTGCTCCGAGAGCTGTTTAAACTAGAACACAACAAATATTTGGGTGAGCCTGCCAGCTCCATTCCACCCGCCTTTCCCCTGTGAGATGTACTCTCTGGGTCTGAGCCACCGGCTGCTCAGCCAGTGGAAATTTCTTCAGGAGCTCTTACACAATCCCAGCAGCTGTTTTTAGCCTCGTTTGGGAAATTAATGAACTTGAATGATCCTGTTACGCTTGGAGCTTGTCAGGAAAGAGGTTGAGCAACAGGCGGAATGAGGGATCCCGGAGAGAAGGCTTTTTTGTGTCCCTTTTTAGCCCCCTTCATTTTTTTACATAGAGAGAATGCAATCTGTAGCTGGTGGAAATCAGTGTAGCTCCACTGACTTTAACAGAGCTCCCTGTTTTACGCTCGCTGACGATCCGGCCCCTAATATACTGCTCTTATTAGAAAATAATCAGTAGCATAAGATGTGTGCACGTTAGTGGAGAAATATAAATAGTTGCTTGAATTCTCAACCCTCTTCTTTACCCTCCAGGTCTATTCTTGCAAGGGGGTCACTGGGAGCTTCTGTTACAATTTTGTGCAATAAAACGTGGCAGTATAGTCTTGTAGCAAAGACACCGAAGGTTTAGCAGGACTTGGTGCTAGCCTTGTGCACGAGGGTGAATTGTACCCTTGCCTACGCTGTTTGGAATGTGCAACTGCATCATTTAATCTATGCGTTGACCTGTAAGCTGGGGTGCGGAACTTTTTTGGGGAAGGGGGCTGCTGACCCATGGAAAAATCAGTTGGGGGGCCAAACAAAATGACAAAAAATCCCATCCCTCACTGACGTGGCCCCAGCTGAGAAAGAGAAAGACACTCCCTACATTCCCACACACACCAGAACCTACGGGGCCCAGGTTAGTAGATTTTGTGGGGGCCCCTAGGCTCTGGGGTGGGACCAAAAATGAAGGGTTCAGTGTGTGGGAGGGGGCTGCCGGGGAGCAGGCTTGGGGTCTGAGCAGGAGAGAGAGCACAGGAGTGCTGGGAGGGGAGCCCTGAGCCTCGAGGGCCGGATCCAGCTGGCCCCCAGGTTCCCTACCCCGCTGTAAGTTCTCTAGAACATTATAAAGTGCCATGCAGCCCTATGGTGCTGTACAGACGATTGGTAGAGATGGGCTCAGGTTGGGAGAGTCAAACCTTGATCCGGCAGGCTGTGGATCCAGGATTTCCCTTTGCACCTTTGCACTGTGGCTGCAGCTTCCCCACCTGTCTTTGGAGTACGTGCATTGCTCTTCAATCCTCAGGAAAATCCCCTTTCAGAAGGCGGGTCTTATTTAGGTGGCCAAAAATACAGCTCAGGGACTTTTTCTGCATCTGAGGTGGAGACCCAAAGCCCAGATTCCTGGGTTCTTTTCCTGATGATCTCCAAGTGACACACATTGTGACCTCAGGCGAGTCCTTTCACTACTGCGTGCCTCCGATTGCCCTACTCTGTCATATCCCTGCCTCATGGATGTCCGTGCCGGACTGAAGTTTGCTTTGGGGTAAAGGGTGCGCCACCCTGGCGGTGCGGTGTCCAGGTCTGGAGCCGAATGCAGTTAGCAGGGCTGTGGCTCCGGCAGCTGTCTGGTAGAAGTGCACACCTGGGGCGTTGTCCTTCTCCTGACCTCATTTAACCTGCCTCCTTGCGGGCCGGGCCATTCTCATTCTCCCTTCTGCTTGCCAGGTAAGCTAGGGGGCCAGGATTCCTTCGAGAGCATAGAGAGCTACGATAGCTGCGACCGACTGACGCAGTCCTGGAGCAGCCAGTCGTCCTTCCAGAGCCTTCAGCGCGTCCCCTCCTACGACAGCTTCGATTCGGAGGACTACCCAGCGGCACTGCCCAACCACAAGCCCAAAGGCACCTTCAAGGACTATGTTCGAGACCGGGCCGACATGAACAAGGACAAGCCCGTCATTCCTGCCGCTGCCCTGGCTGGCTACACAGGTAGGGTCATGTGCCCCCGGGTAGAGCCGGCTCTTGGGTGCCATTCGGAAATAAAGCGGGGGCTGGCAAAAGGGGAGAGACCAGCTGAGGCCTCTAGGTGCAGGACAGGTGCATTGAGCAAACGATCCCCTCTAGTTTATGGGTCTCAGCTCTGCGCGAAGGGGCAGTGTCTATAGGGGAGGGAGTGTGTCAGCCGTCAGGACAATGACACGTGAGTCCCTTTGAGAGGCCTCCAGCACTCCAGTCCTAACAATGGAGTTTGGGATGTCGATACCTGTCCCTTTAGGAGCAGGACCGAGAGGCCTCAACTATGGAGGAGCTCAGTCTTGCACTCTGAGAACCTGTCTCAGGGGCTGAGTTTTACCTCAGTTTCCTGTGTCTGGAGGAAGCCGGTCCATGCACCCCATAACTTTTGTTGTGTCTAGGTCCCATCTCATCTGCCATCTCCCTTCAGGCTCCAACCATCCATCCAACCATCCACCCGCTTTTGGGTGTTACTGCTGGAGCTGATTTCTAGCAGTAACCTAAAGGAGAGAGCTCCTGTTATCCCATCATGTCTCTTGAGCCTGTCGGTTTTGGCCTGATTTATACTTAGCGAGGTGGCATTTTGCACCCATGTTGCTCAGGATAGCAATTTGCCCTCCCTTTGCCCAGCTCTGAAAGGCCAGGCACTGAAAACCAAGTTCCTTATTTCTCAAGACAGGCATTTTCATCACCACTTAGGACAATGTTTCTTTTCCCCATGCTCGTCTGCAGTGTGTTGTCCACTTCTCTGCAGCCCTCCACCCCAGAGGTGTCTGCATTTTGAGAAGTGCTGGACAGGTTGTGTACTGCTTTTGTAGCCTTGGGAATGGAAGGTGATGGAAATGTAAGAAGCCTGACTGGTAAGAACCAAGAGTGGTGTAGAGAAAGTGAATAGGGAAAAATATTTACTTGTTCCCATATCATAAGAACTAGAATGAAATTAATAGGTAGCAGGTTTAAAACAAAAGGAAGTATTTCTTCATGCAGCACAAAGTCAACCTGTGGAACTCCTTGCCAGAGGATGTTGTGAAGACCAAAACTTTAACAGGTTTCAAGAGAGTTAGATACATTCATAGAGGTTAAGTCCATCATTGACTATTAACCAGGATGGGTAGGAATGGTGTCCCTAGCCTCTGTTTATCAGAGGCTGGGAATAGGTAACAGGGGAAGGATCACTTGAAGGTTATCTGTTCTGTTCATTCCCTCTGGAGAACCTAGCATTGGCAACTGTTGGCAGACAGGACACTGGGCTAGATGGACCTTTGGTCTGACCCAGCATGGCTGTTCTTACGTAAGCCTGTTTCTCCATTCACTGTTGTCATTCACTTTGAAGAAGGGTGTGACAATGGAGAATTAGGCACTCTACATTTGGGAAAGGCTTCATGATGTTGCCCAAACTCATTGGGAGTAAGGCTGGCAAAATGGAGCTCTGGGCATGCCCTAAATCTGCGGAGAGCTTCTCAAGTGTTTTCATGTGGCTGGGTCTTCCTCTATTTGTTTTGGAATCTAGGCAAGTGGATTGTGTTGCTGAACTTCGTATTGATCTTTGGGTTTGGGGGGGAAACAGCAGGGAAGAAGGAACGGTGATCGGACTTCAGAACTTATTTGAAATCTAGTTCAGAGAGGGAGCACAGTGTCTTTCCTCAGTTCCCCTTTCCCTTGTGCACCTAGTGAGGGCAGCTATGAACTTGGAGAAGCCAGGAGGCAGAAATAGCAAGTGCAGATAAAGATCAAGAGGCTCAAAGCAGATCCTGAAGTGAGACCCTTCCAGAAAGCTCCTCCCACTCGCACAGTTCATCTTAGGGCTGATCATTTTATTTTTTGTAGGGGGAGTGACGAGGAGGAGGCAGAAAGATAATTTTTGGAGCCGTATGTAAAAAGGAAGTGGTTTGTTGCTATAGCTTTAATGTTAGAGAGCGATCAATCCAGCCAACTGAATGGGAGTCTTTCAAGTGACCTGTAAAAAATCAACCAAACAAACAAAAAACAATTGAATCATGATGTGTTCCTGTGTTAGTTACTGCCTGATAGGATGTGACCTGTGACAGCTGGGGGAGGGGCCACGCAACACAGTACTTTCATCATGTCTCCATTCCATAATACACTTTATTTGTTCCTACAGAGTAGGCCCATAAACATCGCTGGCCATTTCTCTTACCCCCAAGCAAATCAATCTTCTAAGAGCTTCTAATAGGACTTTTCGCAATGGGATCTCAAAGTGCTTTGGAATCCTGATGGCCCTATGCACTAGTGCTGATCCCCATTTCATGGAGGAAACTGAGGCACAAAAGTATGTTCCTGAATTAGGGGCAGAGCTGGGTTTAGACCCCAGTCCTTCTGTTTCCTACTGTCATGCACTAACCAAGAGATGCACTCTCTCTCCTAGGAAGAGAGAGGCATTGGCAGGATTGGCATAAGCAATACAGGACATCTAAGTGCCCATTCTCATGTACAGTTATTTTGCAAGTAGCCGCAAACATTTGAGGACATTTTACGGTGATGATCAGGCCCATCTTTTCCTTTGCTTAGTTTCCTCCTGTTGCTTTTTGCCCTGCCTCCTCATAATCAAAGCCATCCCATTCTGCAATGGGAGACACTTTGCACGGTTGCTGGGGCCAGTCTGTGTCAGGAAAGCATCATGTGTCTGAGCTCCTTTCCAAAGCCCGCTCATGCCGTGTGAGTCTAGGCTGTGTGTGGTTGGACCCTTTGCAGAACTTGACCGACTCTCCCCGTCAGCTGAGGAAGTCTCTGCTCTGTCCTTGCTCTGAAGTCAGCGGGAGTTTTTCCTTGAGACTGTGCTCTCTCTCTAACTACAAGTGCTTGTCCTGTTTCCCTCCAGCTTTGAAGTCCGCCATTTAGAGCCAGGCAAAGTTTTTCAGATAAATAGGTTATTCACAAAAACAAACAAACAAACTTCTAGATTTGGTCCCCCAAAAAAGTCAGTAAAAAAATATTTTAGACTGGAGTGGCGAGGTGAGTGAATGGCCCTTTAATTGGACCAGTTCTCTTTTTGAGAGAGAAGTTGATTCAGTCGAAGATGCTATCTACCCTACCTTGTCTGTCTAATATCTTGGGACTGATACAGCTACATCCACTACTGCAAGCAGAATTTTCAAAATGAGATGTTTTGCCTTATTGTTTTGAAATGACATTGGGAGTAGATATTTAACTGGGGGTAAGTCTACACTACCCTCCTATTTCGAAATAGGAGGGAAATGTAGGCATACCGCAATTGCAAATGAAGCCCGGGATTTGAATTTCCCGGGCTTCATTTGCATAAGCGGGACGCCGCCATTTTTAAATCCCCGCTCGTTCGAACCCCGTGCCGCGCGGCTACACGGGGCACGAACTAGGGAGTTCGAACTAGGCTTCCTAGTTCGAACTACTGTTACTCCTCATTCCACGAGGAGTAACGGTAGTTCGAACTAGGAAGCCTAGTTCGAACTACCTAGTTCGTGCCGCGTGTAGCCGCGCAGCACGGGGTTCGAACGAGCGGGGATTTAAAAATGGTGGCGCCCGGCTTATGCAAATGAAGCCCGGGAAATTCAAATCCCGGGCTTCATTTGCAATTGCGGTATGCCTACATTACCCCGCTAGTTCGAACTAGCGGGGTAGTGTAGACATACCCTGGGTTATTCATTTGGGATCCAACTAAGCATGTAGTTCAACCCAAAGTGAATGATCTTTCAGAAAACAAGCAGCTACGCATTCAACTCTATTCATAATCAGCTGTCAAGAGGTAGGGTGCATATAACACAGCTTCTGTGCCTAATCAAAGGCCAAGTATCTCCCAAAGAGCTCTGGGCGTGCAGTGCATCGGTGAAACTGAACAACCCTCACCTAGCAATGTGCCCCAAACTAAACCAAGACATTTCATACCACTATTAGAGAAAACCAGAGAAACACTGAGAAAACCAGAGCACCTGTCCCTAAAATGAGTTAGATCCTTCATTCCACTCAGGGTGTGTCTAGACTACAGGGTTTTTTCTAAAAAACTTTCCCTGCGTCTAGACTGCCGTTGAGTTCTTTTGAAATAAAATTGAAAGAACACAGCGGTTTTTTCGAACACGGTAAACCTCATTTTATGAGGAAGAACGCCTTTTTTTCTAAAGTGCTCTTTCAAAAAGAGGCTTTCTTGAATACAAACTGTGCTTTTTCGAAAGAGAGCATCCGGACTGCCTGGGTGCGCTCTTTTGAAAAAGCAGCTTGCTTTTTCAAAAGTACTGGTTGTAGTCTAGATGCTCTTTTTCAAAAGTATATTTCGAAAAAGCCTCTTTCGAAAGAGGCTTGCAGTTTAGATGTAGCCTTACTTCAGTCCACTTTTTGGACTCATGTCTCCAAAAAGCGAGATCTTTACCTATTCCCGTACCAAAGCACTCTTGTCTATGACCCAAATGCAACATGTTAGTATAAGAAACATGCACGCTCTTATGGGAACCTTCCCAGACATCCTTCAAATTCCATTTTGACTCAGGAATCAACAAAACCCTAGACACCAGACCCAATTTTTTTTCAGAATTTATTAGTGCTTTGGGGTGCCTCTGTTCTTCAGTGCCCAGACTTTAAGCAGCTTTCTTCACCTTATAAAAGCATCTCAGGTGGAGTTCCTGGAAAGTGGGGCACTGAACATCACCAGTCACTTTGAAAATCACTGGCCTTTGCTCAGTCTAATGGCATCGCTGTCTGAGACCTCTACTTGGTAAGGGACTGGACCTGCCTCATTATTGTAGCAGTACGCGGATGTGTCAGTCTGAAGGTGTGATTATAGAGGTCCCTAATTCACCAGGGCCTTGCCTTTTCTCGTCATTTACTGCCGGATAAAGGGAACACCGCGTGGATATAAAATGCAGCTGTCTGAGATCTGGTTGCAAGATACAGCCACTTTGCTCAAGAGCAAGTGATAATAATACAAGCTCCAAAGCAGAGGCAAATTGAGCCTCCAAAATTTGAATCTGGATTAAGACACTTTCAAAGTC